TTGTGCTGGCAGCACACAGTAGGTCCTCATGACTGTGGCGAGTCATGGCCGTGAGGCTGCGATTGTGCTGGCAGCACACAGTAGGTCCTCATGACCGTGGCAAGCCGTGGCCGCAAGGCTGCGAGTGCTGGTAGCACACAGTAGGTCCTCACGACTGTGGCGAGCCATGGCCATGTGTCTGTGATTGTGTGGACAGGCACAGAATGGCCTGAAGCGTGGGAAGGTCCCCTGCCTGACAGCGGCTTTAGCACCAGGAAACCTCCCACCTGGGGCCTGCCTGTGAAGGTGAGTCGGGCCAGTGGGAAGCACCTGCTCAAGTGGAACTGCACACAAACCACTGGGAGCTACTGCCTCACACACGATTGCTTTTCAGCATTTTGTAAGTCCAAGCAAACCCCCAAGAAAAGCTTGAGCAGGGCCGGGTCTGCACCAACAGGCTGGGTCCGAGTGAGTGCTGGTTGGATGTGCTCCAGTGTGGAGGGCAGAGGGAGAGAGTGGGCCGCCTGGAGAGGAGTGGGGTGCAGTCAGGGGCTGCAGGACGCTCCCCAGCAGGCACCCCGACGGTGTGAAAGAATGTCTGGGAGCTGCTTTCCTCTGGGCGTTTGTGGGATCCCTCCCCTTAGCCAAGGCGCCGCTGCAGCTGTTTTTCAAATGAAAACTGGGCTTGAGAGGAGGAAATAATTGAGGTCTAAGAAGTCCATGCCCTCATTTGTTCATGCACAACGAGAAGCTTGAGGCATCTGCGGGACGCTGCACTCACTGCCTCTCCTCTGTCTCTTTCTCTCCAGTCGTGCCAGGCGGACCTCGTGAAGGACAACGGCCACAAGTACTTCCTGTCGGTCCTGGCGGACCCCTACATGCCAGTAAGGACTGGGCAGCACCCTCTCCATGGGCTTGGGACTCAGCACTCGCCTCTGCCCACATGTTGCACTGTGGTGGGGCCTTTTGACGGGGGCTACAGGAGGAAGGTCAAGGGTCACAGCAGGGGCCACGTCCGCGGGGTCAGCAACTGCTTCACGTTAGACACGGCCCTTTGCTCAGCACCATGAGTGCAGCTGTTGTTTCGTGTCTGTCTCTAAATAACAGCGCAGTTAACCCGGACACGTGGATTGTTTTGGTTTATTTTAGTCTGTTTTCACTGGCACTTTGCAAAATAGTCAAATCCACTCTCCCTGCTGTCCACTGCATTAGACTAGCAAGCGCTCGCACATCTCTAATGTGATGGTTCCGGCACCTAGGAAGGTCTTGGAACACAACAAGATATCAAAGCACCTCGTTTCAGGAAGGAAGGGAGAAAGGAAAGGAAGGAAAGAAGGTTGTTCGAAAGTTTACATTTTCAGTATATTTTATTGTATTAAATTGTTTAAAAATTAGTAATTCATGAATAGGGTATATAGTTATTCTGTAAATGTTTCATAATGTTTTATTTCTAGCTCCCAGGTTAGTAATGAGAACAAAATAGATATATCCTAAATAATTCTTTACCATAACTTAATATTGCCAGAATATTTAAGTATATTAGCTAGTTTCCACAGTGGTAGGTGGCTTTGGCTGTATAAAGGAACTTTTGTATGTAATTTCACCCCCTAGTTGGTTTTCTAAGCTAAAGGATTTTTTAAAACACAGAAAACAAACAGGACTGTTTTCCAAAAGGTAAATGGTACATGCACTTTGTGTTGTTTTGAAACATCATCACAGGCAGTTAAAGTTTATACTTTATGTCAGTTTTGGAACCCATCACTTCCCATTCTTAAGAATAAGGAAGAAAGCAAATCCCACATGAAGAAGTGAGGAAGAATGCCCACTGGCGACTTGGGCACGAGAGTGAGCTAAGCTCACAAGAATGGCCCCACCTCAGCCACCAGCCTGTGCAAGTTTTGAGGAGACAGCCATGTTTGAAAGAGTGAAAAGGAGGCTGGGTGCGGTGGCTCATGCCTGTAATCCCAGCACTTTGGGAGGCCAAGGCTGGTGGACTGCTTGAGCTCAGGAGTTCAAGACCAGCCTGAGCAACATGGTGAAACCCCGTCTCTACCAAAACTACAAAAAATTAGCCGGGGGTTGTGGCGCACGCCTGTGGTCTCGGCTACTCAGGATGCTGAAGTGGGAGGATCGCCTGAGCCCGGGGACGTCAAGGCTGCAATGAGCTGTGATTGTACAACTGCACTCCAGCCTGAACAACAGAGTGAGACCCTGTCTCCACTAAGTGAATAAATCATATAAATATTCTTAAATGACTAACTGGAAAGAATTTGGTGTGATTCTGTCAAACCGTCAACCATTGTTTTGTTTCTTCAGCGCTTTGTGCCTGTTACGAGAAAATATTCAGAGCTTCCTACTCATCCTCAGAAGTGATTGATTTTTCTAAACTCATAAGCAGATCTGAAAAAACAAATCGAAGCTGTAAAAAAGAAAAGACATGCACTGTTATTGAAAACTCGGGAGATGAATTAAATCACAGAACAGCCAGCCAAGAAGAGGGTTCGTGAAGGAGCCACCTGGAGCGCCGTCCGTGAAGCTGAGCGAGGAGATATGAAAGCCGGGCTAAGAGCCGGGCTGGGAACGCTCACCATGTAGCCAGCATGGTTCAGAACGAGAGAGGAGAATAAGTGGAGAAGCGGTTTTTGATTAGATAGTGGCTGTGAATTTTCCAGATTTGAAGAAAGGAGAGTTCCAATTTTAAAAGCAGGATGAATCCTGAGAAGGTTAAAGAGAAACAAATTCATACACAGGCACATCATAATGAAAACAGCAAATATCAAAGGCATAAAGACAAACCTTAAAAGTTCCCAGAACAAACGTTGTCAGCGAAGGAGGAAACAGCGCTGGCCCCGACAGCAGACCTCTCATCAGCAGCAGCTCTCGTCAGGGGATGGGGAGCCCTCAGCGTGAGAGGAAAGCAGCCGTGGTCGGGTCACTCGCACCCAGCTCAGTCACCACTCAGGAATGGGGGTGCAGTAAGCAGCATTCAGACACCAACAGTTTACTCCTTCCGAACCCCACAGACGATGGCTAGAAAGACCGCATGTCAGCGAGGAGGAAACGGAACCAGGAGGGAAAAGCAAGATGTAGGACACAGCAAAAAGCCAAGAAGTTGGCAAACGTGTTGGCACATCTAAATCTTTGCAAAAATGAAGAATACTCATGGCAAATTGGAGGGTCAAACAAGAGGAGGAATTGGGTACCTTGGGAGCCCTGCAATAATCCAAGATTATTGGATTATTGGTCTAGCGTAGGACGCACTAGACCGTGCGGTGTGCACGTAAAAAACTAAGGCACCACTAAAAACTTACAAATAGACTCTGGTTTCCAGGTCAGCAGAGGTACAGAGGACAGGAGAGAATGAAAATGAGTCACAGTAGAAGAGCAGAAAGGAGAAAACAGTGAAACACAGTTAGAGGGCTGCCTCCATGCCTTTGCTGCCAAAGCCCCTGATTGCAGGACCGTGTGCTCAGAGTGCTGGGCAGGCTGGGGAGGTGAGGTCCGGGTGCTTCATACCGACAGCCATGGCTGGCCTGTGACAGACGAGACAGCCACCAGGTCTGTGCCCGTCCTGCAGTGTTAGGCCTTCCAAGGAGTGGTCTCTTCACTCTGGGAGGGGAGCCCAGAACTCTCAGGCCTTTGAAAATGGCTTTTCATTTTTGTAGAGTCCACTCAAAATCCAGCAGTAAAGCTGGCTCTCGTTACTTTAATTATGCGCCACGCATATCGTGAAGATTGAGAAAGGATCACGCTGTTGGGCATTGGGAATGAGAGTTTCCATTGAGGGGAGACAACCGAGACTGGCTTTTGTTTTCCAGGCCGAACACAGGACCATGACGGCTTTCATTCTCGCCGTGATCGTCAACAGCTACAACACGGGGCAGGTGAGCACCCCAGCCACCCCCAGCCTCCAGAGCCCACCCTTGACGTTGCAGAGGAGCTGGGCCCACTGGGAAACGTGGTGCCACGTGGAGGCGAGGGGGTGTCCAGCAGAGGCTCGGGCCCTTCATCTAGCCAGCCATTTGCAGGGTGAATATGAATCAGGAATTTACAATGGGGAAAATTGAGCATATCAAGGCCTCCCGAGAACGGGTGGCCGCCACCGTCCCGCACAGGCACCCACCACGTGCCCGCCATTGGCAGGCAGAGGCCCACCTGTCTGTGGTCCTACCTCTGCAGGAAGCCTGCCTTCAGGGAAACCTCATTGCCATCTGCCTGGAGCAGCTCAACGACCCGCACCCCTTGCTGCGCCAGTGGGTGGCCATCTGCCTCGGCAGGATCTGGCAGAACTTCGACTCGGCGAGGTGGTGCGGCGTGAGGGACAGCGCTCACGAGAAGCTCTACAGCCTCCTGTCCGACCCCATTCCCGAGGTGAGTCCGGCGGGGCTCAGAGCCCGGTCCTCCTGGCTGCCGACTGCGGGAGCTCCCGGGGGGAGGCAGAGGTCTGCTCGCGTGCAGGTGTGGCCGGCCCATGTCCGGGAACTTCAGGGCTGCGCACTAACAAGAGTAGGACCGTGGAACCTTGGTGAGAGGAGAGCCATGCCCCTGGGGACTTTGCACCCAGGCCCAGATTGCACTCCCGGGGACAGTGGCACAGCTGCAAGCGGGGGTCCCGGAGGGCGCCTCAGAGGCAGGGGTCACGTGCTCACTCTCTGGGTGCCGCTCTGTGTCCTCACCGCGGCCTGCAAGGCAAGGACTACTAGATCTCCACTTTACGGGGAAGGAGACAGGCCAGTGGCTCGTGCCTGGTGCAGCTGGGGAAGGTGCGGGGCGCCGCCCACAGAATGGCCGCAGGCTGGAACTCTGGGAGTTGCACGCACCATTGCCTTCACTCTTCACTTCGCCCTGGCCTATGCAGGGTACAGGGTGTTGCTCATTTTTAGAGCTGAGGAAGCAGGTCAGGGACCGTGACTTCTCCCCAGGACCACATGGTGTCGGAGGCAGGGACTCAGCCAGGGTCCCCGAACCCCAGGACCACATGGTGTCGGAGGCAGGGACTCAGCCAGGGTCCCCGAACCCCAGGACCACATGGTGTCGCTCCCCTGGCTGAGCCCTGTGTGCTTGGTGCACTCCGGGACCCCCACGCCCCTCTGCCTCCAGGAGTGCCTGCACCTTCCCCTCTTTCCACCCTCCCACGCTCTGTGGCCCCTCCCAGCCCCCTCCTCTAACTCCTGCCTCATTCGTCAGCACATTCCCTGGCGCCTGGTTTGGTCTTTCAGTTCCCGGGGCAATGCAGCTCCCGCCTCTGCAGCCTGGCCATCCGCCCCTGGAGCTGGGCGGCTGCCCCTGCTGCCCCCCACCTCCTTCCCTGTTGCCTCTCTGGCAGTGCGAGGAGAGCCTGGGGCCTGGAGAGCTGTTCAGCAAGCACCTGTGGGGTTGGATTCACCTGCACACAGCCCTGGCAGAAAGGCAGGCTGCAGCATGGCCCAGCGTGGGACGTGCGTGTGACCCCCTGCTGTCTTGCAGGTCCGCTGCGCGGCGGTCTTTGCCCTTGGCACGTTCGTGGGCAACTCTGCAGAGAGGACGGACCACTCCACCACCATTGACCACAACGTGGCCATGATGCTGGCCCAGCTGGTCAGCGACGGGAGCCCCATGGTCCGGAAGGTGCGTGAACCCCCAGCCCGGCAGCAGCAGGGCGCCCAGGCCAGACCCCGCGACACCTGGGGCCAAACCCGCGTGGCCCTGACTGCAGCAGGGAGCACTCAGTTTCCACTGTGTATCATTTCGAGAGCAGATCTTTACATGTTTCATTCTCTCCAAAATGCGTTTCTTTACCAGACACCCGTGTGTTTGCTTCATGTAAAGGCGTTTAGTAGGTCGCGCCTCCCGGCAGCTTGTGTAGTAATCTCCTTCCTGCCTGGGAGCAACACACACAGGCACCACTGCAGTTCCAAAGAGACGCAGCCGCCCACAGGTGGCGGGAAGGTTTGTGTACTGGGTCCCCCCACACCCCACGTATGTCAGCACTTTTGTTTTGTTTTGGTTTGTTTTTTTGAGACAGAGTCTTGCTCTGTCGCCCAGGCTGGAGTACAGTGGCACAATCTCGGCTCACTGCAAGCTCTGCCTCCCGGGTTCATGCCATTCTCCTGCCTCAGCCTCCTGAGTAGCTGGGACGACAGGCACCCGCCACCACGCCCGGCTAGTTTTTTGTATTTTTAGTAGAGACGGGGTTTCACCGTGTTAGCCAGGATGGTCTCGATCTCCTGATCTCCTGATCCGCCAGCCTCGACCTCCCAAGTGCTGGGATTACAGGCGTGAGTGGCCGTGCCTGGCCAAAACAGTTTTATAAACTTGAAAACTTATTCACCTGTTTAAATGTAGAAACATCACTGATGATTGTCCAAGGTTTCACACCCCTAGAAAAAGTTGGTTCCACACACCCTCAATTCCCCCACCCACCCCAGCGCAAAAGGGGCGTTTAGGAAGACACTGGTTTCTCGATCTCCTTTGCTGGTGAGATCGAAGGCTGCTCTTGCAGAGAACTCATCCGACAGCCGGAGCACAGAGCTGCTTTCTGGGCGGGGAGTCTGTGTCTCCCCTCGCGCGTTCCTGTGCGGGCTGTGTGTGAGTCTCTCTGGGAGATGGGCTCTATCAGGAGACGGGCCGTGGACCAGGGGCTGGGGATTGTTTGTTGGGAGAGCAGATGCTGCCGCTTTACTTGGGAGGGACGTGATCTGGCCGGGTTTCCCTCAGACCGACGAAGCGTGGAGAGGCACGTTCTATCATGCATTCCCTTCTAGAATTAGCCCAAGTCATTAGGATGCGACATTTTCTACTGAAATCTTGAAAATATGAAGTAAGATTCTGGCGAGCCTTTTCTGTTGGTTCTGACTTTGTTATCTTCACGTTCTCCTCATGTCCGGGCTTCTGAACCTGGCCTCTCTCGGCCCCTGCCGAATTCTTTTTCCCACATCAAATCACCTTTGGTGGACATCACTGATCAAAGCAGCAAATCAACGGTTTGTCTGTTAAAATTCTTTTTAAAGTAAGGAAAGCTTTGTTTCTTCTTTACAAAAACAATGTGAAAATAGAGAGGACGTTAGCTGTGAGGCGTTCCCCAAGAGCCATCTTGTGGCTGGCTGTCCGTCCCGGGTTGTGTCCCGTGGTGTGGTCCTGGCTGCTGGGGCACTGAGATGAAGCTCACCCTCCACTGGGAGTGGTTCGGCATTCACTCGCCTGCACGGCCACCTGCTGAACCTGCATGCTGGAGATGTGGCCTGCGAGGATACCATGGGGTTCAGAGGAGGTGCTGCCGACCGGGAAACAGCTGTCTCGGGGACGCTGGGCAGGGCGTGTGGAGGGGGATGACAGCCCCTGTCCTCCAGGAGCATGCAGTCTAATCAAAGAGACAGATACAGATACAGTCATTACACCAGAGCCTTGTGGAGAAGTGCTGCCTGGAGTGCTCTGGAGCTCCTGAGAGCTGGGCCTGTGCTTGCGTCTGAGCGGGAAGAGGGTAGGCAGAGGCTTTTGTGGAGGGGCAGCTCTTACCTGGTTATGGAGGGTGAGTCATACGTCACCCAGGAGGGGCTGGATAAGTGGGAGGAGCGTGTGCGGAGGCCTAAGCATGGGGAAGATGGAGAGGCTCAGGGCCACCCCTCTTCTGAGTGGCCAGAGGCTCAGGCGTGGGGAAGATGGAGGGGCTCAGGGCCACCTTCTTTCCACGTGGCCGGACTATTGAGCAGGCAGGAGGGGCAGTGGGGTGAGGCTGAAGTCAGGAGCTGTGAGTGCCAGGCTCCAGCTGTCAAGAATGTGCCTTCAATAAGTGATCTATTCTTACAAATCTAACAGGGTTCACTCTTGCAGCAAATATTTTTCTGGTGTCTGCCCCGCGCTGGGTACCACATCAGGCACTTGAGATGCTTCCCGGCTTCAGGGGGTTTGTGTTCTAGCAGGAGAAGCAGCAAACAGAGCCGATACCCTCAGCTGGCAGGGTGATGTCTGGAGGGAGGAAGGGTAGTGAGGAGTCAGAGAAAGACACCATCACTCACGTGTGACCAGGAGGCCTCCCCAAGCAGGCTGCACTGGCATGCAGACTCGGGGAGTGCACTGACTCTGAGGGGGTGCGCTGACTCTGGGGACGGTGCTGACAGGGGCTGTGCCAACTCCAGGGGTGCACTGACTCTGGGGTGTGCCGACTCGGAGGGTGCACCAACTCTGGGGTGTGCCGACTCGCGGGGTGTGCCGACTCTGGGGTGTGCCGACTCTGGGGGTGTGCCGACTCGGGGGGTGCGCCGACTGCGGGGGTGCACTGACTCTGGGGTGTGCCGACTCAGAGGGTGCACCGAATCGGGTGCGCCGACTCAGGGTGCACCGACTCCAGGGGTGCACCGACTCTGGGGTATGCCGACTCAGGGTGCACGGACTGTGGGGTGTGCTAACTCGGGGGGTGCACCAACTTGGGGGGTGTGCCGACTCGAAGGGTGTGCCAACTCAGGGGTGCACCGACTCCAGGGGTGCACTGACTCTGGGGTGTGCCGACTCTGGGGGTTCACAGACTGTGGGGTGTGCCAACTCAGGGGGTGCACCGACTCTGGGGTGTGCCGACTCGGGGGGGTGTGCCGACTCTTGGGTGTGCCGACTCAGAGGGTGCACTGACTTGGGGTGTGCCGACTCAGAGGGTGCGCCGACTCTGGGGTGTGCCGACTCGGGGTGTGCCGACTCAGAGGGTGCACCGACTCGGGGTGTGCTGACTCAGAGGGTGCGCCGACTCTGGGGTGTGCCGACTCGGGGGGTGCACCGACTCCAGTGGTGCACCGACTCTGGGGTGTGCCGACTCGGGGAGTGGCCGACTCAGGGGGTGCACCAGCTCCGGGGGTGCGCCTCCGTCCTCGTCATGGAGTCCTGCCGCACCACAGCTGGTTTTCTCTCCTGTTTGCCGCCGTGAGTGGAACGGTGCTCTGCAGGGGACTTGGGCACAGGCACAAGCAGCAAGGAGCCTGGCAGGTATGGAGCCGGCCCCCTTCTCGCGGCCTCTCCTCAGGGCCTGTCCTGAGCCTGCTGTGGGGCTGGGGTCGGGGAGCCGGCCTGGCTGAGCAGCTCCTGCCGCCCTCCGGGCCGGGAGGGAGGAGGGTGTCACTGCTGCTCTTCCATAGAAGCAATGTGTACTGGATACCAAAAAGGTGACAGCCACCCTCCTTTTTAATAATAATGCAAGTGTCCTCTCCTGTGTGGGGTGACCATGACAGCCATCCTCCTTTTTGATAGTAATGGAAGCGTCCTCTCCTGTGTGGGGTGACCGTGACAGCCAAGTAGGTTTTGTTTGTCTTGTTTTTCTTTTTTTTTTTTTTGAGACGGAGTCTTGCTCTGTCGCCCAGGCTGGAGTGCAGTGGCCGGATCTCAGCTCACTGCAAGCTCCGCCTCCCAGGTTCACGCCATTCTCCCGCCTCAGCCTCCCAAGTAGCTGGGACTACAGGCGCCCGCCACCTCACCCGGCTAGTTTTTCGTATTTTTTTTTTAGTAGAGACGGGGTTTCACCGTGTTAGCCAGGATGGTCTCGATCTCCTGACCTCGTGATCCACCCGTCTCGGCCTCCCAAAGTTTGTTTGTCTTGTTTAATGAGCTTACTTGACAAAATTTAAAAGTCAGCAAATTCAGCTTAGCCCTCAAATTATTTTGAACTTCAGCTTGTCTGTGAAGCACAAAACCTGCAGTCAGCAGCCACCCCTCCCTCGTCAAGAAGGGCCAGGCCAGGAGTGTGGGGCTAGATCCCCCAGTGTCACCCCAGCCTCTGTGGGGCCGGGCTGGGCAGGAGCCGCACACAGGGACGGGCCCAGCAGGGCTTGGATCAGGGCTTACTCCCTGTCATGGCCTCAGGAGGAAATAGGGACTATTTGGATACTATTTTATTTTATTTGTTTTATTTTATTTTGAAACAGAGTCTCTGTCACCCGGATTGGAATACAGTGGCACAATCTCGGCTCACTGCAACCTCTGCCTCCCGGGCTCAAGTGATCCTCCCACCTCAGCCTCCTGAGTAGCTGGGACCACAGGCGTGTGCCACCATACTGGGCTAATTTTTTTCTTTTTTGTAGAGATGGGGTCTCGCTGTGTTGCCCAGGCTGGCCTCAAATTCCTGGGCTCACGGGATCCACTCTGTAATCCCAGGCCTTGGCCTCCCAGGATGCTTCCCAGGGTGCTGCTCGGGCCTGCCGTGGTCACAGGAGCTGAGTTTTATGATGCCTGAGCACAGGTCACAAGACAAATATTAGCCACCCGGTGTCGTGTTGTTGGAAATGTGGAGTGGGTGGCCCTCAGGGCAGGTGGGCAAGGGGCGGAGGCTAGGTGGGCCGGCAGCCCATGGTCAGTCCAGCTGTGTCAACACCGGGAGGTGCGTGGGTCCCCAGCGGGGCAGGGCATGTGCCCAAGCAAGATGTCCTTGAGTCCTGGCACCAGTTCACGGTTAGAAAGTAACCCATGTGTTACAGACTTCGCCCCTGCAGGGAGGGCTGCACTCACCCAGAACATACTTGTCAGGCACATGCTGCGTGCTGGGCCGGCTTGGGCCTCAGTGACCCCGCAGGGCACTAACCCTAGCTCTTCTCTTAAGAAAGTGTTCCTGCAGCTGGGGGAGGGGCTGGGTATGAGGGTGGTAGGCCGGGGTGGCAGCTGAGCAGAGCTAGTATGGATGGGGCTGGGGGCATAGGGAGGCCTTGCCACAGGGAGGGGCCCAGAGCAGGGGGCATACCCATCAGAGGGCGTGGGTACAAGAGGCCAGGAGGGCGGTGGGGCAGGTGGCCCAGCCACGCACAAGCCTTGTTGTTCACCATCAGCGGTCTGGAGGGGTTTGGAGGCAGGACCTCGCCTTTGTCTGCCCAGATCAGAAGGGCCGCTCGCCCAGCTGCAGGGATGGTGCAGGGAGGAAGAGACGCGCACTTTGAACGCAGAGCTCACAGCACTTGCTCGCAGGTGGAGAGGGTGGAGAAAAGAGGAAGACAGGGAGCCCCGGGGGTTTGGGTCTGAGCAACAGAAGGGTAGACTTGCTCCTCACTGAAGGGGCCAGCCGTGAAGGAGCAGGTTCCAGGAGCACGCATGGACTCCGAAGGTGGGGAGCCGACAGGAAGGGCTGAGCTGACAGGTGAAAGTGTGAGTCCAGGCGAAGCTGCCCCTTCGAGGCAGGCTGCTCAGCCCCAGCCAGGGATTAGGAGGACAGACAATGGCTCTGACAAGCGACCGGTCAGAGGACCTTGGAAAGCTAGTCAGTGTGGAGCCCATGGCCGTCTGTGTGCTGCTGGGGAGCCCCCAGGAGGAAGGGGTCACGTGGCAACACCAGCCAAGATCATCTTGCAAAAGCTGAGAGAGAGGGGAGCTCCCACACCCCTGGCTGAGCCCGTCTGCCACACCCTCTGATGGGTTCTGCACGAATATCCCAAAGAAGGCCGGTCCGTGTGTGTCTTGCTGTCAGAGCCCAGCTCCATTCAGGAAGGGCAGGAAGGGTCTGACGCAAAGGAGAAGTCTTTGCTGTGTGCCAGGCAGCAGCCTCCAGAGCAAGGCCCACCATCTGCAGCAGGCTGTGCGGCTCCGAGCGAGGCCCCCGTATGCAGCAGGATGTGTGTTCGGGAGTGAGTGCTCTCTGGATGTTCCCCTTGAATAATGGACGTGGCCCCTGTTGACCTCCCCTGAATCGAAAGGCCCACCACCTCGGTGCACGTTAATCCATGCCAGGGCCCAACTCTGGCTTTTCTCACCTGATGTCAGAAGGAAAGGGAAAAAATCGGTACTTTCTGAAGACAGGTGCAGCCTTGATCTTCTCTGGAAGGGGCCCAGTTCGCTTTGTCGGAGGCCCCGTCTGGGCAGCGCCTCACTCCTCTTGCACAGGGAAGGCAGCGGGGGTTCTGTGGTTTGTCCGGGAGCCTGGGACAGTGGCTTAGGCAGTTGGAGATGAGCACCAGAACCGGGTGTGGGCCATGGCGGTGAAGACGCACACTGGGCCACGGCCCTTGGTGCCCAGCAGGGCGGGAGGGGCAAGTGGAGGGTGATGCCAGGGCTCCATTCTGAGCAGTGCGAGACTTGCAGTTCCATCGGCGCAAATCTAGAGGGCGCTGCAGGCTGAATGGAAAGTAGACGGTGCCCACAGTTCACAGGCCAGGGAGAGTTTGGGGTGCAGGTGAAGAGCCGGCAGCTGGACAGCCAGCCTGGAGCTAGGAGAGTGAGGGGCCAGCATCAGGGAAACCATAAAGCACGACAGGAGGAAGCCCAGGGCGTGTAAAGCTGGGGTGGGAGAGTGCATGGACAGAGAGCGTGTAGACGGAGAGTGGGCGGCCACGAGAAGACCCTGGTCTCTGGTGGGCGCCCATCCAGAGCCCGCTCATCCTGCCGCTGCAGAGACGGGAGCATCACGCAGCAAGCGAGGGGTCCTCTCGCAGCACTTGGCTTTCTGCTAAGAATCCATCTTTTTTCTTTGTAGAAAAAAAAAGGCAGAGAAAGTTGTCATAGGGAAAAAAGCATTCCTTCTGTTTTTTAAACCTACATCCCCTTTCTGTTTCCCAGTGACTTCTAGGATCTCCAGCTGTTCCTGTCACAGCACTGAACCGTCCTAAAACAGAGGCAAATTGTGTCTGTTTCCCTGGACCAAGGCATTTGGGCCTAAAGATGATGTTTTAGTTCCACAACTTTTCCCATTCCCTCTTAGGGACTAGAAACGTCTTCCAGTAAAAGTTTCACGTGTGTTGAAAAGAGCAGGCTTCAGCTTGTCCGCTGTGCTCGGCCCTGGGGTGCTCAGATTCAGAAAGGCCACCAGCCGTCGGGTGTGATCTAAAGCGGCGTTTTCAGCCGGGGTCCCAGTGGTGACCGTAAGCGAGAGGCTGTGAGGCCTCCTACCTTTCCCCGTCTGGAGTCCTGTGACTCACCGTGTCCTTATGAGACCCCCATGCGTCGTGCGCATCTAGCGGTGGTGAGGATCCTGGCAGGCGTCCTGGGCTTCCCCCGTGAGCCGGTGGCCTGCCGTCTCCACAGCACTGCTGTTCAAGGCTTCTGGGTTCGAAAAGGGATGGTCCCTTTTTCTGACGCCGACAGCACGCTTTTGTCTTAACCTTTCTTTTCTGTGGGTGACTCACGTCTCACTGCTGCCCTCAGTCATCTTCCGGCCCCAGTGAGTGTTATTGTCCCGTCTCCCTCTCGGCAGGAGCTGGTGGTGGCTCTGAGTCATCTCGTGGTCCAGTACGAAAGCAATTTCTGCACCGTGGCCCTGCAGTTCATAGAAGAGGAAAAGAACTACCCCTTGCCTTCTCCAGTGACCACAGGTACGGCGTCTCCTGTGAACCCGCTGAGCACCTGGCCTGGCGGTTCTAGCGCAGGCCCGGCCCAGTCTCAGGACTGCTGGCCGCTTGCTGACTCTCGCAGAGTCTAAGCTCAGGTTTCCCAGATCCCTCCGCAAGGGGTCCCTGTGTTTCTCATCTTTTTAGGCACTTGTCAGATTCGAAAGGACAGGAAAGAGGGCCACACTGACCCTCTTACATTTCTCCTTTCTTTTTACCCTTTTTGGAAATTAAACTCACGGAAACCTTGAAGTATGACAAACTTCTGCAATAGGAGCTTTGCAGAAAAGCGCAGGGGCCGCCTTCCTGCCGTGAGTCATTTCATCACACTGCTGCTGGCTCCGTGGCTCGGTGAGTCACGTCAGGAGTCCTTTCTCACACGTGTCGTTTTGACTGGAGAGTACAGTTCCTATCTCATGGCTGCTGGCAGCCCCTCCCCTACCACACAGCCGTCTCTGCCATGCAGAGGCTTGTCATCAACAGTGAAGCCTCACTGCTTATAGGAAGCCCAGGAAGGGAGAAGGGTGAGCCAGACTGAGTGCGGCCGGCCATTGCTCTGCTGCGGCTTCCCGGGGAACAGCTCACGGCCCACGTCACCACGCACCTCGTGTGCACTTGGACAGGCCGCAGCCACCAGCCTCTCCCCGTTGTCTTTTGTAATTTAATATCCACAGAGCGACAAGCGGTTGTCGTTTGTCCAGTGCCATCCCGCAGAGCCTCCGCTCACGTCTGAGTCTCCCTGAGCTGCGCAGCTCCTGCGTTCACATTCGTTCCAGCACAGGTAGCAGCTGCCGTCACCGAGTGTCCCAGCTGCTGAGTGTCAGAAGACATGCCGGCCTGCGCCTGGAAGCCCATCGTAACTTGTCTTTCTCCTTCTTTCCCAGAGGGAGGGAG